TCTCAGAAGGCTCGGGAGTCCCCGAGCCTTCTGAGAAGTGGTCCAAGCCTCCCCCGAAGACGCAACAACCAAAAACCCCTCGGGAGGCGCGGGGGCTTCTGAGAAGTCCCGCCGCCTTCTGAGAAGGCCTTCTCCTTCTCACTTCCCCCCCTCGCTCGCCGCCAAGACACATCCCTGCCCTGGCCCCGCCCGAGGGTCGCCGGGCGTGCCCGTCCTCTGCCAGGGCGGCGTCGGCCCCCGTGGGCGTCGGCCACGCTCTGGGCCGGGAGCCCGAGCGACCCCCGCGAGGCTCCCGGTCCAGTGCGCCGCCGCTGGCTGTCTCACCACTGGAGAGAGAAGAATCGGGGAGACGTACGACTCGGGTACGGGGGACTCGGGTTGGTGGCACCCCTCACGCAGATCGGCAGGGTCAGGGTCCGAACGCACGAGGGAGTTGTCATATTTCTGACAGTTGGTGGCACCCCTCACGCAGATCGGCAGGGTCAGGGTCCAAAAACACATGGGATTTGCCACATTTCTAAAATTCGGCGGCACCCCTCACGCAGATCCGTAGGGTCAGGGTCCAAAAACATACGGGATTTGCCACATTTCGCCTGGCGTGGCCATCATAAAAATGACGAGGCCCAATCTGAAATTTGACGCGAGCTCCCGCTGCAGACATCCCACGAAAACTGGACCGTCAAAATCCAGGGCGCGCTCGCCGAAAAACGTCGGCAGTCGGCAAGCCCGAGTTCCGGCTTACTCGAGTCTTACGTTCCCCGAGAGAATGTCAGGCCCTGCGCACGCTGAGGCTTGCGGAGAGATCGTTTTCGGATGGACTGGTGGGGATGGAGGCCTCAGGCGTCCAGGACCTGATTCGGGGGCTGGCGGCCAGCGGCTCTGAGGGAACCGGGCCAGAGAGAGCCAATAGGTGGCCAGGAGGCAGAGTGCTGAGTGCACCGCGCGGGCGCACGGATGGGGGAACAGATGCGGTCAGGAACTCTTGCCGTCAGCGTGTCGCGTCGCGGCGTAGAGCGTCCCTCCGCTTCGCGAGGGGGGGGAGGAGGAGGAGGAGGAGGAGGAGGAGGAGGAGGAGGAGGAGGAGGAGGAGGAGGAGGAGGAGGAGGAGGAAAGGGAGGAGGAGGAGGAGGAGGAGGAGGAGGAGGAGGAGGAGGAGGAGGAGGAGGAGGAGGAGGGAGGAGGAGGAGGAGGAGGAGGAGGAGGAGGAGGAGGAGGAGGAGGAGGAGGAGGAGGAGGAGGAGCCCAGGAGGACATTGACGCCTGCGGACTGGTGCGCGAACGCGCCCCCCGAAGCGTGGAGGGCCGGAGCAGGCGGCGCGGCGCGCCGAGCAAACGTTCCCGACGGTGCGCGCTTTTCTCCCGTCTTCGAGGCAGCCCTCGCGGCGTGCGGACTCCTGGCGCCCCCCGGCGCCTCGGGGAGCCCCGCCAGCGCGCGGCACTGCGATCGAGTGCCAGTGGTGGGAGGGGGGCAGGAGCAGGAGGAGCAGGAGGAGGAGGAGGAGGAGGAGGAGGAGGAGGAGGAGGAGGAGGAAGAGGAGGAGGAGGAGGAGGAGGAGGAGGAGGAGGAGGAGGAGGAGGAGGAGGTGCGCGGCTGCCGGAGGCCGCGGGGGGGGAGGGGGGTGGAGAGGGGAGAAGCTGGCGGCGCGCGCACGGGGGTAGGGGGAGGGGGGAAGCCCTCTTAGAAGGAGGCTGCTCCTTAGAAGGCGCCGGCCCTACGCCTAGTGCTTCTGACTGAGGAGCCTTCCCCCCTCATCCTGCCTCCTCTGCGCGCGGCCGAAGAAGGGGGACCCATACCTTCGCCTGAGGCCAGATCCGGAGGGCGTGGGCCCAGCATGGAGGGGCACTGGAGATCAGAATCTGGCTGCCTGGGGGCTCACGCCAAGGCCACAAGAGTCCGAATCCAGAAGGCTGGCTCCAGAAACTGTTCTGACATCGGCGCTGACCTCTCTCTCTTGGGGGGACATGCTCTGCTCCGCTCGGCGTTTGCCAGGTCCTCAAGCAGGAGCGGTCCTTCGACCGGCTTCCTGTTTGGAGCGCCTCATGCGACGGCCTGGGCATGGGAAGTGGATAGAGGCCCTCCAGATGGGGTCCGAGCAGATGGGGTCAGCGGATCGCGCCGCATCGCCGATGCATCGGCGATGCATCGGCGACGTCGGCGTGGAGGAAAATCAGGCTCCGCACCGAGCCGCGTCGCCGATGCACCGCCGATGCGGAGCGATCCTCCGACCCCATCTGCTCGGACCCCATCCGGGAGGCCTAGAGTGGAGGGGTAGGGAAGGAGATACCCAGACCCCCGACGTCATGATTTCTTCATGACGTCGACCCCCAGAGGTCTCGACCCCTTCCCCGGGACCGGCTCCTCATCCGGAGTCGTTCTTTGAGGGTCCCGAGGCCCGGCAGGGGCCCCCAGAGGCCGAACATAGCGATCAACTGTCGGTCCTGAGGAGGAGGAGGAGGAGGAGGAGGAGGAGGAGGAGGAGGAGGAGGAGGAGGAGGAGGAGGGCGGAGGAGGAGGAGGAGGGGGGAGGAGGAGGGAGGAGGAGGAGGAGGGGAGGAGGAGGAGGAGGAGGAGGAGGAGGAGGAGGAGGAGGAGGTGGCAGGCAGAGCGCACCAGACAGAAGCGACGCCGCCACAGCCCTGCGGAGCTCCGCGCGGAGTTCGATGTGGACGCCCGAGATGGGCGCGGAAGGAATGGGTACAATGCCCAACAACAAACCTAGACCTCCTCGCGCTGTGAAAAAATCACGACGGGAGGTTTTTCGCTATTTTCGGCCTCTGGGGGCCCTTCCCGGGCCTCGGGACCGTCAAAAAACGACTCAGGATGAAAAACCGGTCCCAGGGAAGGGGTCCAGACCTCTGGGGTCGACGTTGTGAAAAAATCACGACGTCGGGGGTCTGGGAATGTTGTCCCAAACCAACAGCGGCCGCTGTTGGACGCCCGAAATGGGCACGGAAAGAATGGGTACTCCAGATTTCGTAGTAAAAGGGAGGGGGTCTCAACCCTCCCAGACAGGAAGTTTTAGACCCTCCCAGACCCATCCATGAGAGGGCGGCCCTCTGCCCAGACCCCCCCCCCGAACCCTCCAAGACAGCTCCAATCAGACCCCCCCCAAATGTGACCCCCCCGACTTTATGATGGAATCCTGAGTACAATGCCCACCGACAACTGTTGTCCCAAACCAGCAGCGGCCGCTGTTGGGCAGGCGGCCCTCTGTCTCAAATGTGCGCAGGCCGCGGCGACGCCGACAGCGAGTCCTGTGCAAAAGGAGCAAGGGCTGCTGTTGGGCACTGTACCCATTCTTTCCGTACCCGCGTCGGGCGTCGGCGGTTGGCCTCCCTCCGGGCACCCCCTGGGGGCGGCGCCCCCCCTTTGCGCGCTCCGCGCGCCAGGTGCGGGGAGGCAGGCGCAGACGTGCAAGTTTTCGTCGTTGTTAAGTTGTTGTTGTTGCTGCTGTTTTCTTTATACGTGTATATATACTTGTAGCCACACATATATATATATACATATATATATATATATATATATATATGTGTGTGTGTGTGTAGCCGCATGCTTTGATATTCTTATGGTTGGCTGCTTTTACGATTAGTTTCACATGTTTGCAAAACACCACTTATTAGATACATATTTATATATTAAATGAGTTGAGCGAAGATCAAACACAAGAAACGGGTCTTACGCGAGACGACATAGCGCCCTTACGCGGCGGCTTACGCGGGCCGCCCGCGCGGCACGCCACTCTGTAAGCGAGGGCGCTTACGCGCGAGCTCACGCGGGCAGCTTACGCGCCAATGTCGGCGCAGACGACCCCGTTTTTGTCGTCGCTCAGTTGGACCTGGGACAGAAGCGCATCCTTCAAAAACATGATGCCCTCCGCCGGCCAAACTGGAGAACAGAACTTGATTGGATGCACAATAACATCCAGTCAACGCGAAGAATACTAGGGTACCCTCCCCCAGCCGACCTCGATCTTATACCTCAGTCCGACAGCGCGCGGTTCCTAGGATTCCCGACCCTTCCCCCCGGGCCCGGTCCCGAGTCGCCATTTGACGGTCCCGAGGCCTGCCGAGAGCTCCCAAAGGCCGAAACCTGACCAACTTTCCTCGTCGTGATTGTGTCATGACGCCAACGTCAGAAGAAGAATTAACGGCATGAGCACAATCTTTTGGCGCTCCGCGCGGATTTCGTGGACGGGCTGGGCCCACTCCCTGGCGCGCGGGGCGCGCCAGGGGCGGCGCTGGAGGCGCCGCCAGGGGGTCCCAGCGCTGATCCAAGAAATCCGCGCGGGGCGCCAAAAGTTGATGTTCATGCTTTTTTCGGGGGGGGGGGGGGGGCGGGGCGCCCGTCGAGCCATGTCTTTGAGCAGGGACCGACCGCCCCTGCATTCCTTTAGGTCTGCCACGACATTTTCTTAAATGTTCTAGCACCCGCAATCTTCTTGGAACATAGTCCGATGTGTTAAATCAAGACAGTCCTGGCCAGAAATGCTCCAAGAACATTTCGTGGAAACCACAAGAGGTCCTCAGAACATCGTTCGGCGGGCCTGTGGGCACGCCAGGACGCCTCGCCACGGCTTGATGTCCGGGGGCCCAACGCCGACCCAAGCCATCCGCGCCGCGGCCCTCCGAAGGCCTGCGCCCCCCCCGGCTTCGAGGCACCGCCGCCGCCGCCGCGCGGGGGCGCATCACGCGCCCTGGGCGGCCGCGGCGGGGGCGCTGCTGCGGACCCCGCCTTGGGGGCCCCCGCGGGCCGCGGGCGCGGCCGCAGGGGCCGCGGCCGCCGTGCCGCCGGTGCTCTAGAAGAACCAAGAACGGCATACACATGAACTTCGGGCGCTCCGCGCGGGTCTCTTGGATCTGAGGCGGAGCCCCCCTTCCTGGCGCGCGGAGCGCGCCAGGGGCGGCGCCGGAGGCGCCGCCAGGGGGCCCCTGCGCAGATCCAAGAAATCCGCGCGGAGCGCTCAAAGTTTATGTTTGTGTCGTGTTTCCTTCTTCGATGCTCGCCATCAGCACCGCCCTGCACAGGATGGACCGCACCTCGGCGCCGCCGAGCAGGGCGCCGCTGGGGACGTCCTGCTCGCCGTCCGCGCCAGCCTCCGCCGCCGCGCCCCCGGGCCGCGGGGGCAGGGGCTGGCCCGCGCAGGTGTAGCCCGAGAGCTCGAAGACGCGGCGGAGCTCCCGCCAGTCGCCGCCCTGCAGGCAGCAAGGCCCGCTGGCTCCCACCGTGGCCCTGGCCAAGCCCTGCTTGCGCGCCTGCCTGCGCAGAATGTTCTCCTCGAGGCTGCCGTGCATGGCCAGCCTGTAGACGAACACGGGCCTGCGCTGCCCCTGCCGCCACACGCGCGCCATGGCCTGCAGGTCCACGGCCGGGTTCCAGTCGGGCTCCAGCATGACCAGCCGGCTGGCTCCCGTGATGTTGAGGCCCACGCCGCCAGCCTTGGTCGAGAGCATGAGCGCCTTGGGGCCGCGCTGCCTGTTGAACGACTCCACCAGCTCCTGGCGCTTGGCCACCTGCGTGGAGCCCTGCAGCGACCAGGCCGCGAAGCCGAGGCGCTCGCAGGCCTGCCGGCAGCGGGCCAGGGCGGACGTGAAGTTGGACACGATGACGATGCCCTCGTCGGGCGCTTCCGCGCCGAGCCTCCGCAAGAGCGCCTCCAAGAGCACGAGCTTCCCTGATGCCTCCTCCGTGTCCCAGGCCCTGTGGTCCACCTGCGCGAACGCCTCACGGCAGAGGCGCAAGATACCAGTACCCTCGGCCGCCGGCCAGAGGGGCTCCTCGCCGTCGCAGTTGGCGAACGCGTCCTCCGCCGCGCCGCCGCGGCAGCGCTCGAGCAGGTCGCGAGGGTCGTTGCAGAGCTGGCGGAGCAGCACCAGCGTGCTCAAGCTTTGGGCGTGGCAAGCGGCGTCTGCGCCCTGGAGCCTGCACATCGCACGGTAGACGCAGACCTGCGGCGGGGTGAGCGGCACTGTGAGGAGGATCTCAGCGCGGGGGGGCAGCAGCGACTCGATGACCTCGGGGCCCCTCCTCAGGATGTAGGCTGCGGTGAGGCGGGCGAGCTCGGCGGAGCGTGCACGGCCGAGGGCCACCTCCTCGGCCGAGGCCGACGTGTCCTGAGCCCGCTCGATGGGACGGCGGAACAGGCGCTGAAACGCCCCAGGCGGCGGCAGCAAGTGCGGCCGAACAAAGTTGACGCAGCACCAGAACTCCTCGAGGTTGTTCTGCAGGGGTGTGCCGGTCAGTAGCACCCGGCGCTTGCTGCGCAGCGCGTCCAAGCGCCGGCCCTCGATGCCCCGCGCCTTCAACCGGTGGCCCTCATCGAAGACCCAGAGGTCGACGGCCTCGTCGACCGCGTCCGCGTGGACGCGCATCTGGTCGTAGGAGATGATCAGCAGCCGGCAGTCCGCCCCTCCCGGGCGGTCGGGCGCCAGGAAGCGGTCGAGCGCTAGGCCAGCCGTCCCGGTCGGACCCCCGCCCTGCACGACCGAGGGCCGGAGGCGTAGTGCACCCAGCCACTGGCGCACCTCCGCCTCCCAGCTGCCGCACAGCGAGGACGGGCACACCACGGCCGCCCTGCTCGACAGGGGGCGCCCTGCAGGCTGGCTCAGGGCGGCCCAGAGCAGGCAAAGGGCCTGCAGGGTCTTCCCGAGGCCCATGCTGTCCGCCAGTATGCAGCCCTCGCCAGCCGCAACTCTCTTGAACATGAAGGCGACACCCTCGCGTTGATGCGGCTTGAGGTGCTGGGCGATGCCAGGCTCCACGAAAAAGGCCGGGCCAGCCCCTCCACCGCCGCTGAGGACGAGGGACTCTGGCGGTACGACGGCGGCCTCCAGTGGCGCCATCGCCTGGGCGCCGGCGCTGACGCACAAGAGGCTGCGGCCGCGCTGCCTCTTCGACGGTGGCCCAGCCTCTGGCTGGGCGGGCTGCTGCGCTGCCGCCTCCGCGAAGGCGCGGCCAGACGCGAAGTGCTCCGAGGGGAACTCCTCCCCCACCTCGATCAGCGTGACCAGTCCTGCCTTCAGTTGCACCCCGCTCGCCAGGTCTCGCCGCACCCAGAGCGTCAGCCCCAGCTTGATAAACTTGCCGTCGTCGCTGTAAAGGCTGCCCTTGCCCTCTCGCACGCGGAGCACCCCGTCCTCCCAAGAGCGCCGCTTCTTGTGGGCGTCGCGCGTGAAGGTCACCCTGAAGCACCTCTCCGCACCTGAGGCAGGGGCCTGCTGGGCCAAGGCGGCGGCACCCTCTGGACCAATGCTCGGCGCGGCCACCGCGGCAGTGGCGTCGGCACCCACAGAGCCCAGGGACAACGTGCCGTCGCCGGAGCTTATGGGCCGCCAGCACGCCCCCTGTCCGCCGCCGGCACTTCCTCGCCAGTCGCCCGCGTCGGCACCGGCCCCGCTGAGAAGAGACCCCTCAGAAGGGCATTCCGCGGCGGAGGCGCCAGCCGCCGCAGGGTCCAGGCACAATGCGCCGTCGCTGGCGCTCGCGAGGTGCTGGCGAGGCCGACCGCCAGCGTCGCTTTTGGGGCTGCAGGTAAAGGCATCCTCCGCCCACGTGCCGACTGCAGCCTCGCCCACGGCGAAGGCGCCAGTCGTCGCAGAATCCAAGAGCGGCGCCCCGTCGCTGGCGCTCCCGAACCGCCAGCAGGTCGGTCCACCAGCGCCGATTTCAGCGCCGCGGGCAGAGTAATCCGCTGCACAGGTGGCGACCGCAACCTCGGCCGCAGCGAAAGCACCGGACCCCTCCGAGCACGAGGAAGCCGCAGCACTCCATGGGGGGCGCTGGAGCTCTCTGAAAACGTCGACCTCGGCACTGTGTGGAGAGGCCTCCACCGCACAGGTGCCGTGTGCAGCCGCGGGTGCGGCAGATGCACCTGGCGCCACCGAGCCCGAGAACGGTGCGCACAGGCCAGCGCTCACGGACCGCTGGCAGGGCTGATCGCCAGCGCCGACCTCGGCGACGCGGAGAAAGGCCCTCTGGTGGTGCTGCTCCGTGTGCGGGGCAGGGGCAGCAGCTGGAGAAAGGGGGCACGCTCGTGGCGGGCCCGTTCCTGGCCCATCGGTGCGAATCGCTTCGGGCGATGGTGCGCGTGGTGTCGCCGCGCCCAACGCCACCGCTGCCGCTGGAGACCCACTCCGCTCGCGAGCCCTGGTCGCCGCGGGCTGGCTCCATCCGTCGGGCGGCGCCGGCGTCGCGGCCGACGGCAGGGACCCCTCGTCGGCCACTGCGGGGTCGAGGGCTGCGACCTGCGCGCCCAGGTCTGCCCCGGCGGCCGGAAGCCGTGCGCCCCATGCTGGTGCGGTTGGCGCAGAGTCCAACGCCGCAGACGCGGGGTGGTGCCCAGGAGTTGGGGCGGCAGCTTCGCTGTCAGAGGCCTGCACGCGGGGCACCCGACGCACGGGACTGGGAGCACAGTCGCTTGCGGCCGCGCGGGCCAGGGATGCAGCCTGTCCCTGCGCGTCCATCACGGCACCAGGGGAGTCTGGTGCCTGTGCTGGAAGGCAGCCCCACGTGCTTTCAAGGCCGAGCTGCGGGTGTGCCGCGGAGGCGCGAGACCAAGTGCCCTCTCCACCGTCGAGATGCCAATCAGGTGGCCCTGCCATCAGGGGCATGTGCTGTGCGCCTGCTGGTCTGGCATGAAACTCTGGATCGCCTTGATGTGGGCCTGCTACCCGTGGCAAGGACCCGTTGCGCAACGGAGCCGCGAAGCGCCTGTCTGCCGACGCACCTTCTGGAGCACAAGCGCCCGTGCTGGCAACAGCATGTTGAACGCCAGGCAGTGTGCGCGGGGAGTGATGCTCGTGGTCTGACTCCTCCTCCTCCAGGGATGGACAACGCATGTCCAGTGCGTGGGGCCCAGGGCTCGTCACTGTGGCTGGAAGCTCACCGCACGAGCTCGCGCTCGCCGGCCCATCCATCAGAGCTCCAGGAGAGGCATGCAGCTGCGCGTGCGAGGCGGCAGGCTCGTCGACTGGGGGAGCTGCTGGAAGCTGCCCCTGCACGCCCGTCACGCCAAGCCCCGGAGCTCCTCCTGCTGCCGCCTCAGGTGCCACTCCCGCGATCATGCTCAAAACGTCCGCCCTCAGACTCGACATCATGGGCGACGGCGCAGGCCGCACAAGACCGCCAGCAGGCTCGCTGCGCGACGCCGCTGCCGAACGCTGCTGCTGCAGCTCTGCAATGCTCGCCTCTGGTGTGGGAATGTTCATTTAGGAATGAAAGAACGCCCCTACCCTGGGTTACAAGTCCGTGGTCAGTAAACCTCCTGGGAACGCCCACTGGCCAGAGAGCCGCCAGGACGCCGCGCGGCACGCGCGATACGCAGGGTTGGCCCTGTCAGCCCACAGGAGGTTCAGCGCACAGCGCCTCATAGACCAGGGTAGGGGCGTCTTCTACGCCCCTGAGATCAAGGGGGGAATGGCTCAGGGGCGCACATCGTCACAGAATTGGCGATACACCTCCGATAGCTCGGCCGATCGGCTCTCGATGGCGACACCGCACGCCCCAGGGCACAGGGTGGGCTAGCAGGCTCCCGTCGGCGATGACTGGGCGAGAGGGCCTCGATGCATCCCCCCCCTGAGCCTACACGTCGTTCATTTCTGATCGTGCCCATTTCCAACTGTGCTCGTCTCGGATTGTTCCTGGCACCCTGTAGTGGCCAGGAAAGGGGCCCAGGATAGAATAGTTAGAAAGGAAAGGATCTTGCCCCACCCCAAAAAATCAAAGAACTCTCGAATACTTAGATTTGAACAAGTTGCAGCCCCCCCCCCCAAAACCAGCATCGCCCCCGAGCCTCGGGGACCGCCGCCTCGTCGCCCTCCCCGGGCCCACCGGGGCGCGCCCTGGCGCCGCAGCGGGTGCGCCCCGCGGCGAAGTCGAGCACGAAGTCGAAGAGCTCGCAGATCGGCGGCGGCGGCGGACCGTGGCCTCTCGGGCCGGGCGGAAGGGGGCCCTGACTCCGGATCCGCCCTGCTTTGGGGAACTTCGTAAGCAGGGCTTGGAACTTCCGCCCTACTTTTCAGGCCCCGCTGACGCCAATTTCCGCCCTACTTTTCTGTCGCTGTTTCCGCCCTACTTCTGTGGATTTCCGCCCTACTTTACGCTGGGTGCAGGATTTTCCGCCCCAATTTTCCGCTGACTCCAGATCCGCCCTACTTTGGCTTTTTTTTCAACTTAAGATTGCGTCGGAAATTCATCTCTAAGAGGCCGAACAAGTAGGGCGGAAAATGCGCGGAAATCCACAAAAAAGTGGGGCGGAAACAGCGACAGGAAAGTAGGGCGGAAATTGGCGTCAGCGGGGCCTGAAAAGTAGGGCGGAAGTTCCAAGCCCTACTTACGAATTTCCCCAGAAAGTAGGGCGGACCCAGAGTCAGGGGGGGATAGCAAAGGGGGGGCCTGAGAATCAGCTCGCGTGGCTGATGTTCCCGGCGCCTCCCGGCGCCGGGAGGCGCCCATGTGTCGAGGAAGAGGCCTGGTAGCGGGGCCGAAAGCAGCTGCATGCAGCAGATTTCGTACCCCGCCCCTTTCCCTAGACCTTCCAGGAGGGCTAAAAAACAGCACCCGACTCAAAAACCTATCCCAATGCTAGTCTACGTCTTGGTTTTTAGGCTGTTTCGCTCAGCTTTTTTTAGGTTTTTAGGTCTCCAGTGCTAAAAGATAGCTCTCTGGAAGGTCAGGGACCAGCTGCATGCAGCAGACTTCGTACCCCCCCCCCCCGTTTCCCTAATTATCCCCCCCCCCTTGCGTCCGGCCCGGGCCTCGCGGCCGCCGTGTCGCGGAACAAAGAGATGACGGGACACACGAAAGTAGGTCGGGCATGTCCCCCCACAGGCGGAGCTTGGACGAACAACTTAAAATACCCCACAAATGCTCCCAAATGGTCAACCACATGCTCAACAAGTCGTCCCCCGACTATGTTTTAACATATTTTGGAATATTCCTCCTGTTGAGGGACGGGCCCGACTTGAACATAAAAGCTCGGAGGTCCGCGCGGATTTCTCAGATCAGCGCTGGACCCCCCCTCCCCCTGGCGCGCGGAGGGCGCCAGGGGCGGCGCCGGCGCCGGAGGCGCCGCCAGGGGGGCCCACCGCGGATCCGAGAACTCCGCGCGGACCTCCGAGTCTTTAATACAGTCGGGACCTTGACCTAAGGAACCCTAAATAAGGAACGATGCTCCTTTTTTCCAGAAGTCAAACTTCGACTTCCCATCGAAAACCTAAGGAAAGCCTATGGCAAGCTGCGAAACACTTAAAGAACACGGAGCCCCTCCCCAACGAAAAGGGTTCCTTCTTCAGGGCCCCGACTGTATGTTCACGGAATTTGTTCTTCCCCTGCGCCGCGCACCTGCTCCGCCGTGCCCCCCTGCAGGCAGGCCCGCCGCCGCAGCCGCGCGCCCGCGCGCCCCAGCCCCGCCCCTGGCGCGCGGGGAGGCACCGCCGGCGGAGGCCGCCGCCGCCACGCCGGGGTTCTCCGCACCCCGGGCGCCGTGCCTATAGAGGTCCGATGTCGTGATGTTTTTTCGCTACGCGGTCTCCGGAAGTCTCGACGCATTCCCCAGGACCGGCTCCTCATCCTGGGTCGTTTGCTTGACAGTCTTGCGGGGCCTGGCGAGGGCCCCTCGAGCCCGGAACCAGGGAAGAACCTTCGCCTCGATTCAAAGGCGTTGGATCTCTGGGTTGACCATCGGCACCGGCCTCTGGCTCGCGCTGGGGCCGCCGCAGCCGCGCCCCGCCAAGCTGGAGCTTCCGCAGCCGCCGCGGGCACCGGCGGCGGCGCCGTGATCGCTGCCAGCATCGGGGGGCGTCTGGCCGCCCGCGGGTGCCGCTGGCGCGGGGATGCCGCAGGGGCTGGTGCAGGCTGGGCCGCCGAGGGGCGCCAGCAGCAGCCTGCGGGGCATCGCGCGCCGGCGCCGCGCGTGCGGGGGCAAGGGCAACGCCCAGACTGGTGAGCTGATCGGCGCTTGAGCCGACGGGCTGTGGACCTGCTGCTCGAGGAGGAGAGGGAGGAGGAGAAGGAGGAGGAGAGAGGAGGAGAGAGGAGAAGGAGGAGGAGGAGGAGGAGGAGGAGGAGGAGGAGGAGGAGGAGGAGCAGGAGGAGGAGGGGAGGAGAGGAGAGGAGGAGGGAGGAGGGGGGGGAGGAGGAGGGAGGACGAGGAGGAGGGGAAGGAGGGAGGAGGAGGAGGAGGAGGAGAGGAGGAGGAGGAGGAGAGGAGGAGGAGGAGGCGGAGGAGGAGCAGGAGGAGGAGGAGGAGGGGGGAGAGGAGGGGAAAGGAGGAGGAGGAGGGGGGAGGAGAGGAGGGAGGAGGAGGAGGAGGAGGAGGAGGAGGAGGAGGAGGAGGAGGAGGAGGAGGAGGAGGAGGGGGGAGGAGAAAACGCTCGATGCCTTTTGGGGTCCTCTCCAGGCCAGGCCGGAGCCCGCCCGAGTCTGGCTCGCAGGAGCAGGAGGAACCTGTTTGAAGCACCATTCCCCAGGAGCACGGCCTTTTTCGGCGAGATCGTTTTTGATATTACACCCCTGCTTAGACTTAAGAAACATTTACGCTGGGGGGATGGACTTCGCTCCAAGCGTTTTCTTAAACAGTAATCCAAGTCCAGATATACGGAAGTTCAACGAAAAAGAAAGCTCTAAGAAAACGCCCAAGGTCCAACCCAAATTCTTGATGTTCTTGGGCGGAAATTGGAGTCCACGAGACCTCTTTTTCTGAGCTTTCTGATGGGTGTACCGTCGGCCCCCCCACCCCCGAGAGGCGCCAATTTTTCTTCAAGAGAACCTAGCGCCTAAGACAGGAAGCACATCCTTCTAGGACGTGAGACCCTCCGCCGGGACAGACCGAAGAGAACATTCGAGGGCACCCTCCCGGAAACGACCTCGATCTTCTACCTCGGTCGGACCGTGCCGTCGGCCCCCCCCCCGAGAGGCGCCCACCTCCCGCGCAGAGAAGCGCAGGGGGCCAGGAAAGGTCGCACAGGGAGAGGGGCAGGCGCGGCGGCAGGGCAGTCCCCAGAGCACGACCTTTCGCAGGGAGATCGTTCGGGGACAATGTCTTTTAGACGTCCATGTTTGATTATCGTCGGCCCCCCCCCCCCCGAGAGGCGCCACTCTCCCACGCAGGGGCGCGGGGGGGCAGGAGCAGGCGGTGCATGGAGAGGGACGGGCGCGGTGGCAGGCAGGCGTGCCAGTGGCGAGGCCCAGAGGAGGAGGAGGAGGAGGAGGAGGAGGAGGAGGAGGAGGAGGAGGAGGAGGAGGAGGGGAGGAGGAGGAGGAGGAGGAGGAGGAGGAGGGAGGAGGAGGAGGAGGAGGATAATTAATCTATTGAGTGCAAGGCTCACTGAAAACATACATCAACGACGATCAAAAACGGGTCTCACGCGAGATGATACAGCGACCTCACGCCGCAACTTACGCGGGCCGCCAGCGCGGCACGCTACATTCGAGAAGAGTGCGCTTACGCGCAACCTTACGCGGGCAGCTTACGCGCCAATGCCGGCGAAAACGACCCCGTGTTTATTGCGTCGCTCACATGTTGGGCAGCGCGGGCCCCGAACAGTGTGCTGTTGGTTATCGCATATTCGATGGGCGCTGTAGGTTGCGCACTATACGTGGT